TAAGATTGTACTAAGATGAAGTACAGCACAAGTCCTTGGCCATTGTATTTTTAATCTTCTTGGAATTGGAATAACACACATAATCTCCCAAGTAAAATTTCACCTTCTCACTGCTTTCCTACCAAAGAAGTTTCTTCGGTAATATGTGACTTGTCTTAGCTAGTGACCCATGGCTGTTAAAGGACCCACTGAGTCATTAACTACCACACTTACTTCTTCCAACCCTAACCTATGTGGTGGTGGCAGTACAACAGAACAGCAAGGGACATCTCCATTCTAAAATACATAGCAACATAAAGAAGTATATGTTGATATGTCTACTCTATCTATATATCTATATAAAGATACATAAGGATACGTATCTATATATAGAGTGATCTCTCTATATAAATAGCTAGACATAGACATATAGACATAAACATATAGGCATAGACATAAATATAGATATATTCCAGCTACTCAGGAGGTTAAAGTGCTAGGACCCAAAACCTGCATAACTTAGTGAGACCCTGACTCAAGATATTAAAAGTAAGAAGAGGGCAGGGTTATAGCGCAGAGGCAGAGCATCTATAAAATCTTAGATTCTATCTCCAACACCGTCTCCGTCATGCAGCAATGATGCACCAAGACCGGCGCTAGTCAGGTGCTCACTGGATAATTCCCTGGGCATTTGTCTTCAACCATGTATCGCTCCTTTAAAATACAGCTTTCTGTTGTTTAGAGGGAAATCACTTGACAGCAAAACAAATCCTCAAGTGAGTTTCCCGAGTAGCCCTTTGGTTTTAAGGAAGGATGTTACCTCATTCCCTTGTTGGCTATAAAGAAGTGAACCTCTTTTAGGGACTCTGTTGCATCCAAGGCCAGGATAGGGCTCCATCAGTTTGCAGCCCGCACCCCATTGGTTGGCAGTAGGGCAATGGGGAGGGTGGTGGCAAGCCTGCTGTGGCTGACTCTGCAGAGGACTCTCTGCCCAGTGTGGTGCCTGCCAATTCCAGAAGAAATTCAAGTTTAAGTAAGCATCCAAGCCAGGAAGCCTTGTGCTGGCCAGTATTCCAGCACTGGCTGAAATCCATTAGTTAATTGAAAAGACAGCAACTACTCCTACTTACTACAGAGGCAACTTGAGATGAAACACCTGCTGTCTCTGAGCCCCCACAAATACAGTCACAACCTGTAGGTGGCAAGGAGCCGACCGCTACAGGGCATGCAACGAGCTTTCCAAAGAACAACAAAGACAACAAGATTCTGGAAATCTGTGAAACGCCTATAGCTCACCGTTGCAACAATTCACAATAAGTACGTATCTGGTTTCCTAACTTCATCTTGCCTAAAATCTTCCAAAGGAAAGGGGTAGAAGAAGCTGTCATCCAAGTCCTAGGACTCAAATACCTTCCGTTTCAGCAGCGAACCCTTCCTTTGGATAAAAGACACAGCCTTGGTATTTTTGTTGAAGCAGATATCAGTGACCACTCATACTCTTATAGACACTTGATGTCCGTGCCTCTGTGGCTTTACAGTTTATATTTTGAATGTCTTATCTAAACAATGCTACCACGGTTGCTCTGGTCCCAAAAGTCCCAAAAGAATGAGCAGCTGGGTAGCAGTTTCAGCTGGGAGGCAAGCATCAATAAGGGCAGAACCTGGAATTCTCTTCTACAGATTCCTGACTGTCTTTGATGAAAGAGTCCCTGGCCAGGAGTCAAGAACAGAACAGGAACGCTGGGTGCAGTATCTCAGGCTCTGGCCAGCAGGAGAGCTATCTGTGCCGCATCAATTGTGAGTCCTGCTGACAGCCCAGCTTTCTCAAAAATATATTTGGTATAGAAGAGCAGGAGAGTGGGGCTTTAAGGAAGACAGTTTCTGGACAAACACACTCCATCATACTGGCTATGCCAAATAGATAACTGTCTTCCAGGAACAGAGCCCCTGCCGTGGACCATAATGCCTGAGACGGACTTTACCTTACCCTGTGTTAAGCTTCACTTTGTCTAGACTTTACCAGTAAGAAAAGAAAGGCTCCCAGAGGTCGTTTCTAACTTGCTGCCAATCACATCACGGAAGTGACAGGATCAAAGATTGGAACCAGGTTTACTGTGTCTACCGTTCTATAAAAACAAAACTCTCGTGGCCTTTGCAAGGCGCCCCCAGCCCACCCTCTTCTACCTCTCTCTCTGCCCTGGGTTTTCAGTCTGCCTCTCCCCTGGCCAGCATGCCTGAGGACGCCTGTCTGTTTTCCGTTGGCTCCTGGATCACAACTACCACACTGGTTTCTGCTTCCAGATACAACGGAGGAACCTCTCCTCTCCCGTACACTCCAGGTATCCTTAACATAGAAAGCAGGAAGGCTGCTTTTAAGTAGGCAATCAAACTCCATTCTATACCTTTGGCTTCACCCTTAAAGGATGGATGCAGGGCAGTTGTCAAGGGTCTCCCGAGGTAATATCGAACACCAGTAACTCAGGCAACACAGAACCAAAGGTGCTTGGCAGTCTATCCATTTTTATATTTTTTACGATCTACGAAAACACTACACACTCAAGTACTCTTTCAGTTTGATACTCGGGCAACTCTGCCAAGCAAGCATTGTCCTGCTTCCTTCATTTGTATCCCACGAAACTCAAGGGAAGTCCTCCCTTGACCCCAGAACCCTAGGAGGTTCTTCAGGACCCTAGGAGGTTCCTGGAAGCAGCCAGCTTGTCTGCAGCACGCACTCAGGAAGGTCCAGGTCAGCAGGCACTTTATTTTGGAAGCTACCCATTGGTCTCAGGCTCCTAACCCTACGCGCACATTGGAGTCACCCAGGGAGCTCTGAAGCAATAGCTTAGAAATTCCAACAGAATTAATCTGTCCAATAGTCTGGGCGTCTGGATTTGCTAAATCCACACTTGATTCTAAGGCAGGAGGACTGAAAACGCGGGCCTTAGATCTCATTGGGATCTTCGATTCTTCTTGTCTCCGATCTAGGGCTGCATCTGAAACTCGGGGTGAGGGACGGGGTCTCTCCCCCTCGGGTTTCAGCCAGAGGTCTTCCACAGCAGCCTGACATTTCCTCCACTGGTTACAGAGCCTGCCGGCGCCAACCCCCATGACTTACCAAGTTGGCAGGACTTTGGCTCAGGAGGCCCTGGAGTACGGTGGCTCTCAGCACGGTTATCGGGGACTAGGGTCGCGGATCCGGCGGGATGGCAGCAGGCGGGAGGGAGGGCGCTGCAGCTGGCGGTCCGGGATCCGAGCTGGCTGGGACTACGGCCGGCCGCACCCGGGCTCGGGTGGGCTCCGGGGAGGGAACGGGGCGGAGCGGGCAGAGGAGGCGGGGACCGGCCGTAGCGCTGCCCCCTGTCCCATTTCCCGGGCGGGAGCCGCCGCACACTAGCCAGACGAGCGGCTGCTGTGCAAGGGGACTGGGCAGGCCTCGGAGTTCGCCCAGGGGTGACACCCTGGGAACTCGTCGTGCCAGCTCTGCCACGGCCGCCGAGAGCCAAGGCCCGCCCCCTGAGAGTGCCACCCAGCGCCGGTAACCACAACCAATGCCAGGACCCAGGCAGAAAAGCTTGTTAAACTAAGCAAACTAAGATCAAACTTAATTGATCTACTTTCAGAGACCGAGGCTTTCTCCCGGTCTGCTGTTAAGTCTTCTCTTGAGCACGAATAATCTAGAGCCTTTTCATTTCCTGTAAGGAATTACGTGAAGGAATTAACATGCAAATGAACCTTCCGAATAAATACTTTTAAACCTTTGTTTGTTTGTTTGTTTGACAGTTAAACAAAAGTGCTTTCAGATTTGTGGCCACATATAGTCATGGCTATGAAAACTCGCATGAAGTTGACCAATCTGAGAAAAGCAAAACTGAAACTTGGTAAGCGTGTTGGACCATGTAAGGGTGTACTTGCATGGGTGAAGGCCTCCCTCCTCCTTCGGTGTGCTGCAGTGCTGCGGCTAAATGATGGAAAGGAAAGCTTTTATTCTAAGAGTCTGATGTGTTTGCAGCGGCTGGAGACCGACCCATGGCCACTCGCACCGTGCATCTCCAGCCGCTGTTCATTCTTAGTCTTCTGCTTTTTGCTTACACTATCATTTACATTTTTTGAGACAGCTGTTCCTTACTTGTTACTTTGGACTTTTTACTTCGGGATAATTTGTAAATTAATAAAGAACTGGAAGAAGTAATGCACAGACTCATGTATCTGTAACCCAATTTATCCCAGTCTTGTAGAGCTACAGCACCAAAAAACTACAATGAGCAGAAAACAGACTATTGATAGAGTCAAGATACAGAACAGGTTCAACACAAGCATCCTTTTACACTGGCCCACCCTGTGCCCACAGAGTATCTCCAGCCTCTGGTGCTGTCCCATTTCATCTTGGCCATTTTGGATAGTTGTATTGTCCTGGTAAGACACTGCTGTGGTTTCAGCTTGCTGATGACATAGACCTCTTGCCTGTGCCTACATGCTACCTGTAGCTTCTCTTGAGGAAAACATATCTCCATGTCTTTGCCTCCGTGTCTCTTGTTCATTTCCTAAATGTTGCATGATGAGAGTTTTTATGTGTGGCTTGTAAATATTTTCTCCAATTCTTTGCCTTTTCTTTCTTCTTCCTTCTCTGCTTCTCTCTCTCTCTCTCTCTCTCTCTCTCTCTCTCTCTCTCTCTCTCTCT